ATGAATTTTTGAATTATTTTGACAATTAAGAGTGTTGAAAGCATCATTGATTACAGTGTAAAAAAAGTAAGTTATTTTTTATGGTGAAGTTTGGAAAAAAAAAAAAACCAAGAAGTTAACTTACTGGTGTATAAGTTAGCATTTGAACATACTAAGTGAAATTATGAAATTTGTTGGATTAGTATAATAGCCTAGAAAGTAATAATAATAAGTAAATATATAAGTTGATGTTTTAATGGTAGTTATATTAAGATTTAGACAAACATATTAAGAAATGAAGCTGGTATGGTGGAAGTGTGTAAACTACCCATCCAAGGGGTCTAAAACGAGCCGGCTGAAGCGGGGGGGGGGGGGGGTGTTGCACATTTAGCTTTATGAAATTACCATTATGCCCTTCCCATCATCACATAAATTTTCTCTTCCTTCTTCTTTGTCCAGACGTGTTACACATAGAAAGAGGTAGAGAATTTTGGAGTTACTCCTCTACCATCACCAACCTCTTTCTCTTCCTTCTTTGTTCCTTGATATCACCGGTAATAAAGGAGGCTCGTCACTGCTCAGCAATGTTCAGGTGCACCCTTCATGCCTTCTGACTCTGTTTTTTCCTTCTTCCTCGGTCTGTTGCTTTCCCTGTGTTATTCACGTTCAAGTTATGGCTGGAATAAAGGACCAAGTCATTGGAGCTGGAAGGTTTTACTCGTGAGTTCTTCCTTCCTCACTTCAGCCGTGAGCCTCGTTATTCCTTTCTTTTTGCGCTCCCTGTTTTTGCATCTTCTCTGTGTGTTGTTTTGTCCGTGTTATTCTGGCCGAGAAATCACAAAGCATCAAAACTGGGGGGGCTGTTGCTGTGAGATCGTTTTGGTGCTGTTGAATTAGTCTTCTTCCATTTGTTGTGCGTGGTGACAGTGCCAGCTTATCTCTCTGCTGTTCAGCCATAAAACTCCAACATGTTCTCTTGTTCTCGGTCATTAGCACTGGTGAGGTGAGGGATATTCACGTTTCATTCTTCTCTTAGTTTGCATGTATGTGATTGGTTATTGAAGCTGCAAAATTTGTGCCCCTTGTTGCTGCTGCTGCCGTGCTGTTGAAGTGGGGAGAAGACTCATAATTGAGATACAAACCTATTTTAAAGCTTGATAATATATACACATATAAACACACACCTGTACGTATATGGGTTATAACTTTGGAGCTAAATAAATTTTATTTGGAGTGATTTATGTTAAAAAAATTAGTAAGGAAAGGTTAAGAGAGAATAGCTTAGATATATAAATTAAATATTGGCACCTATGATATGCTTGTTGAAATGCTTGTTAGAAGAATCAAATTTAATTTTTAATATTTTGAAGTTTCATTAGTTCTTGGGACTTATATGGTTAATGGAAAATGTTTAGATATTTCAATTGAATGGTTAGAATTATGCACCTAAAATAATTGGTGTAAGGCCTAAGAGAAAATTTTACCTTAAGTAAATAGAGTGGCAAGGCTAAAGATATATGAAAGGAATTAATGATATGAATGATAATGCATGGACTAACTTTAAATCATAAATTTGGTTTTGAATTTTAGATGATAATGGATAATTTGGAGTTGTGTTAAAGATTGAATATCTATTAAAACTTCATTTATTATATCTGTATAAGGTGTGTGGACGAAGAGAATTCTGGTAGAAATTGAAGACAAAATACTTTGAAAATTTGGAGTTTGACATGTAAGTGAACAACATCCCCTTTAATTCATTTTTATTTTTAATAGACTTCTATTGAAACATTTTACTTTGTGAATTACATTAGTTTTGAAAATTATGGAATATTGATGATGGATAATTAGATGATTATATGTGCATTTATTTCCTCAAGAAATATATTTTGAGGATTATGGAATTATTTGTTTATTAATCTCTAAAAAATTCTTGGTTATTCAATTAACGCAAGCTTGTACATTATTTATGAAATATTATTTTCGACAAGTACTAAATTAAAATTTGAAATGATTCATGTGAGTTTGGTATTGAAAATGTAAATTGTATTTCAAAAGTAATTATTCTTCTCACATGTTTGAAACATGGTTTTTAAGAAGATTCTAAATAGAACATTGCTGCTAACGGCAGTTCCATTAGCTCGTAGCATGCTGCGGTTAAAAACTAGCTAGTTGCCTTGTGAGCTTGTTCTCACATTTGTTATTCGTGAGCTTTGTACTCGCGTTTGATTTTATGGCATTGAGCCACGTTTGGTTAGTATTACCCTCGTAGGCTGTGTATCCACATTTATTTCGTGGCTTCAGCTGCGTTTAGTTACTTACTCTTATAGAATATCTGTCCATGTTTATCTTCGTGGCATAAACCGCGTTTAGTTATTTAACCTTATAGACTATGTGTCCACATTTGTTACCTGTTCTGTTGAGTTCTCACAAATTCTAATTTTGATTAATGTGTTTTCAAAATTTTAATGGTTTCGGTTAGCAAGTATATCACTTTGGTTTATATGTGAATAAATTATTTTCTTTAAGCATGATAAAATAAATTTCTTCCAATTTACTTTCATTTTACGGTTATGATTATGATTTATAGCCTTGTAAGTTTATTATGATGGATTATTATCTTTTCAATTGGTTGACACTATTATTTGAGTTATTATCTTAATTCTTTTAAATTCTACTTTGGGAATGCTATTCATTGAAAAAAAAAACTTATTTTTGATCTCAGATTTATTAGCTGATGTCGATCCCACTACCGATCTCTGAAGGGCAATTGTCACGCCCCAAAAATAGAGGATGACTGGCACGGGTATGAACCCCACACACCTTCCCGTAAGCCTCAAAATGAATATTTATTCCATTTTACAAAAGAGAAGACCAAAATTTGATCAAGTCATAAGAGAATTAAAATAACTCCTTGATACTCATTATCATAAGAAAGTATTGATTTTTTTTAAAAAAAAATTTCAGCAGAACCTCCCCTGTAACTAGGATTTCCGGAAAATTCTACAACAAAAATTGTACAGATAACAATATAAATCGGAGCGTAGCTCCTTCCAGCCAACAACCAATATACAGACCAAAAATAAGGTTTATCAATAACCTATGTGGAGCATCTACTCTTTCTTTCAAATCAAAAGACATATAATTTCTATATTTACATTAAAGCAACAATACCAATCAAAAAGGTCCACCCACTGTAACTAATTACCCTTTAGAGGTCGATGGTGGGATCAGCGTTAGCTAACAAATCTGAGATCAAAATAATTTTTTCAGTGAATAGCATTCCCATGAAAAAGTTCTTAAAATTTTAATCAATAATCTCTAATAATGGTGTCAGCTAATTAAAAACAATTCCACCAAAATTTATAAACATGTAAGTCATAACCATATTTATAAAATAAGAGTAAATTAAAAATAATTTATGTTATCATACTTAAAGAAGACAATCTGCTCTCATATAACTCAAAGTGATACAAATTACTAGTCAAAATCAAGTAAATTTCGAAAACACATATTAATCAACATTTAAAATTTTGAAAACTCAACAGAATAGGTTACAAACGTGGACACTCAGTCTATGAGGGTAAATAACTAAACGCGGCTTATGCCACGAAAATAAACGTGGACATACCAGTCCACGAGGGTAAGTAACCAAACGCAGCTGAAACTACGAAACAAATGTGAACACACAGCCCACGAGGATAAGTAACCAAACGTGACTCAGGCCACGAAATCAAACGCAGGTACGCAGGCCATGAATACCAAACATGAGAATAAAACTCACGAAACAAACTAGCTAGTATTTAATCACAGCGCGCTACGGGCTAACGGAACTACCGTTAGCAGCAGTGTTCTGTATAAAGTTCTCTTAGAAATCCCGTTTCAAACACGCGAGAAAAATAATTATTTTTGAAGTCAACTTTTTCATTCTCAAGAGCAAACTCGCATGAATCGCCTCAATTATATGAAACTTGCCAAATCGATGCATCATAGTGAATGTACAAACTTGCACTAATCATGTAACCAAGAAATTTTGAAATTCAATAAGTAAAGGTGCCTTCATCAATATTAAAAAGATATTTGTTGAGAAAATGCACAAATCATAATAAAACGATCCTTCATCGTTATCTCAAAATTTCTTCATCGTTATCTCAAAATTTCTAAAACTAACATAATTCATAAAAAATGAAATATTTCAATAAAAAAATTTTTAATAAATAATTATAAGGAATGCTATTCACTTACTCGTCGGAGTTCCAAATTCCCAAAGATATTCTTTCTTTAATTCTTTTCAAGGTCCTATTCTTCCACACACATTATAAGGATACAAATAAATATCCTTTTAATAACTTCTTTCTTTTTTTTTATTGCATAATCTCAACCAACCACCATCATTTAAATTTTCAAAATGAAATTTCATGCCTTAGAGTTGATCGAAGTATTATTATCCATATCACTAGTCTCCTCTAACTTATTTTAACCATGCCAATCTATTTCCTTGAGACACAATTTTCTCTCAAGCTTTGCACCAAATGCCTTAGGTGCCTTACTTCTACTAATTCAATTTAAACACCCAACAATTTACTAATAACCTTACAATTCCCAAGAATTTAAATGGCTTCATAAAAAAATCATATTTAAATTCTTTTACAATCTATAAGTCAATTTGTAGATCCAAAATTTTTCATACTAGCATACTTCTCACAAAGACTAATTAAATTTCAAAAAATGCAAATCCAAGCCAACTCTCTTCCTGGACATTTTATCAAAGACTATATGAGTAAAAGTTATCAAGCTAATATTAACATTTTCTTTCAAAATTTCAGCTTCCTTAAACCTTACAATATCACTAATTCAATCATTTTTAATTACAAACTCAATTCTATACTATCAACTCCTTCCTTATATAACCACTAATTTCAATTTAAAATCAAGCTTCCTCTTCTTATATAGCCATATACGGTCACGGGTAGCAGCAGGGCTTAAGAAAATAAAATTGCAACATCAACTCTATCCTTCACCATCTCACACGCACAGAATTTTCTAAGGAGAAGAGATCAAAGATTCTCACCTTTGATAAACTAACAACACACAAACCAAGAGGGGGAAGAGAATGTTCGTCTACACAGTGAAAGAGAGGAAGATCGCTGTTGGCATAAAAAAGAGATGAGCAAACTAGTAATTGATTGAGCAAGCAGAACAAAAGAAATAAGTTCTCCTATTCACCTACATAGCCACGCCAATGATGAAGAAAAGGAAAAAAATTGATTTGGAACAGAGGAGGAGGAAGACATCACGTTTTTGTTGATCAAGGGTGGATGAGACAACAGCAATGACAAGCACGCCGGCGAGCTCATAACCACAAGCTACAGACTGAAAAAAAAACGACGAGGAAGCTTGAGTTACTTACACAGTTTTACAGACGATAAGATAAGGGAGAATGACGCAAAATATAGGAGAGCACTACCAACCCGTTTATCCTTTCCCACGGTGAAGACTCCGGCGTTTATGGAGTCACCGGCAACCAGTAGAATACAGAACTGATGGCGGAGGACAGAAGTCCGGACGAGGGTTCAAAGATTTTGGAAAATCCTCAAGCTCTCTCTCCACCGACTAACACGCACGGATCTGATAAAGAGAAAGAAAGAAGAGGAATATATCAGATTTAACGAAAGGCATTTGGTAATTTCACAGAGTCAAAAATTGCAAAAGTAATTCTCTTTTTAGCCTCTATCAATTCGAACTTGGCACCAAATGAGTGCATTACATGCACACTTCCACTACACCAACTTTCCTTCTTGTCAAAACTATCCCAAAATTAATATAACTACAATTATAATACAATACTATATATTAACTTCTTCTTTTTTTATATAATTTTTTTACTTAAAATTCTTGAGTTATTACAGTAATATAGCTATATTGGGTGAAAATTTTGTTCAGTACGGTTAATCTTTGATATAAATCTTTAAGTCATATGTATGTTTGATTTAAAAGAAAGATTAGTTGCTCCACATAGATTGTTGTTAGGATTTTATTTTGATTTATATACTGTTACTGCTTGAAAGGAGCTGAGCTCTTGATTGATACTGTTTTCTGTGAAAATTTTGTTGTAGAATTTTTAGGAGATCCTATTTACAAGGGAGGTTTTGCCAAAATTTTTATAAAAATATTGAAGTCCTATTATGACAGTTAATATTAAAAGTGTTAGAATTTTTATATAATCTAATTTTTTTTGAAAAATGGAAGGAATTTTTATTTTAAAGCTTATGGGAATGTGTAATGTAGTTCGTAGCCATGCCAGTTATCCTCTATTTTCAGGGCGTGACAATTAGTTTGGGTTTTGAAGCACTTGGGCATAGGAGAGAAATTTGTTATACTTGATAATATTTATGAGTGAATTAAGGGTGTTATATCATCAATTGTGAGTGTGTAGGTTAAGAAGTTGTGTTATTTTGAATAAAGTGTACTTCATGATGAATTATGGAAGAGCCTTAATAATAATCACTCATTGATTACTAAGGGAAGGAGGTATGATTGAGATAAATATATCATTGTAGGTGGGAGAAAGGAGTAAGAAGAAATTTTTTTTTTAAATATGATTGGTGGGTTAAGGACAAGTAAGAATTGAGAGGACTTTAATATGTTTTAGATTATATATTGAGTCTATGAATTTCAGTTAGAGATATATGAATTAGAGCTTTTAATAAAGAAAGTTGCTTGTTCTTCTAGTTTAGGTAATAGAGTAGCTAAAGAAAAACGGAGAGGTGTTTAGAAAGAACACATTATTATTTTGGGAGCTTAGCAAGTAAGTGAATAGCATCTCAATTAATTTATCAATTATTGTTTTCCTAAAATTTTATATTTTTATACAAATTATTTTAGTAATAATTATATTAATTAGTGGATACTTTGTTAATTAAATTTCTTCATTCTTAAAGTTACAAGATGATGGTGAAGAATATGTACATTATGGCATATGAATGTTTTATCCCTTATGAGATATACTTTAAGATTGATAAAAATCATTTTCACTAATGTTGACAATTTTTAATTATTCAATAAACGCAACCACGAGCATTAGCAAGTTTTAATGCCTAAAAATTATTCATGTGAGTTTGATTTCAAGAATCGAGATTATACCTTAAAAATGATGATTTTCTCACATGTTTGAAAATGAATTTGGAAGGAATTTTATACAAAATACTAGTTGCTAATGACAGTCCTGTTGGCCCTTGGCACATCATGGTCAATAACTAGCTAGTTTAATCTTCATGAACTCTGTTCTTACATTTGTTATTCATGGGTTTAATATCTATGTTTTTTTTCATGGCATGTGCCGTGTTTAGTTAGTATTATCCTTGTAAACTGTGTGCACACATTTGTTTTCATGGCTCAGGCTGTGTTTAATTACTTACCTCCTATACTGTGTGTCCACATTTATTTTCATAACATGAGCTGCATTTAATTATTTACCCTCATGGACTATGTGTTCACGTTTGTGAATTATTCTGATAAATTTCCAAAAAATATGAATTTTTGGTTAATTGATGATTTCATACTCTAAAGGTTTTTAATTAGTAAATGTTATTATTTTTATTTATTTAATTTAATTATTTAATCTATTTAACTCATTAAGATAAAATGTTAGAGTTGTTTCATTATTAAAGATTTAAAGGCTTATAATATTGAAGTTGTATAAAAATTTTTATTCCAAATTTATTAATTTTATTACATCCAATTGTTTTGTCTTCAATTTTTTTAATTGTTGTAAATTATTCATTTTAATTTTGCAAATTTTATGGTTGGGATGTTATTCACTAGAAAGTATTTAGTTTGATCCCAGATAGTGTAGCTGACATTGTATGCCTTGCTAAACCTTAAGAGATTTTTTTTTATTGAGTCAAGTGGAGATTTATGTTGTGAATATTCCCTTTCATGTTATGTAGTTTATTTATTGCTGAGGAACAGAGCTTTTTATTGCTAAATGTATACTATAAAATTTATGTCATAGAGATTTGAAGAGATCTTACTTATAGGGAAAGTGCTGCTGAAAATTTATATGAAATTTTGATTTAGGTGAAAAGTAAAATTAGGTACATATAATCATTCTAATAGTGTGTTAGACATATTAATTCAAAACTTTCCTTAATTAAGGCTTCAAGGAGATGTGTTTGTGAACATATCTCATATGGGTCACTCCTGTATTTTAGGGTGTGACAACTGTGTCTACAACTAATCCATTATTGAGTAGCCAACTTACCTTGATCAAGCTGGAATGAGGAAATTATCTCTTCTGGGAATCCATTATCCTTCCATTGATTGAAGGAAATAAGCTAGAGTTACAAGTGAATAGTGTTGGTTATTTGCCATCCCTTGCTACAGGAGATGTTGTTGTTTTACCTGCTCAAACTCTTGAAGATTTAAATGCGGTTGATAAGATGCTTGTTAGTTGGCTTCAAAATGCCATGAGTATGGATATTGGCGCATAGCTTTTCCATTAGTGCACGGCACAAGAACTCTAGGATGGTGCCAAAGCTCTCACTCAGCTTTAATAAAGGCTTGCGTTATGGTGTTTAAAGCTGGATTACAACAAACTCATAAAAATAGGCTTTGTATAGAGGAATATTTAGCCAAACTCAAGACTCTCTCTGACCAATTAGCTATAGCTAGTACTCCGATTATGACTAATGATCTTATTTCTTAGGCCTTAAATGGCTTGGATGCTAACTATATATAATGCAATAGTTGTAAACTTATTGATATGCCTAACCGTACTTGGATTGATGTTCAGGCCTCCTTATTAGCCTTTGAAAGTCATCTTGAACAGTTAAATGCATTTTTAATCTAACTATATATTCAACCCTCTTTAACATTGCACAGGGTGATGTATGTTCTAATTCAAATCTGCATTCATGACATGGTAATTGAGGTTTCAGAGGCAATTATGGATGCAAATGTTCCTCTTGTGGACGTGGTCTGTCACATCCTGAAAACAAAAGGTAACCAACATGAGATGTGAACCATTTCACACATCCCTTAAGCCCTAAATTGAGAAATCTTTCCATTTTAAAACATAGCTGAATTTGCACTAAAAATTATAACATACTTAATAAAAATTATTATAATAAGAATTTTAATATTTTGTAGAAATTGCTACAAAACCTTCCCTATATATAGGATTTCTCAAAAATTTTACAACATAATATTTTACATAAAATATAGTGTTAATCAGGAGCTTAACTCCTTCCAGTCAGCAAATAATATATATATATATATATATATATATTAAAATAGAAATCTAGCTATAGGCTACGTGAATCATCTGATCATACTTTTCAAATAAAATACATAAGTGTTTATAATTACATCAAAAGGAGGGATCTCAATAAATTTTGCACCTAAGCACGTCTAAAAGTCCTTAGGATTTGGCAAGAGGATCAGCGCCAGCTAAGGTATTCGAGGCCGAAAATAATTTTTTAATGAATAACGTCCTAATAATAAATAATTTAATATGAATTAAAAGGAAAGTTTGAAATAATTATGCAAGCTTAAGAAACAATAATTTTCATAAAAGTTTTATAAACTTCAAAATAAAATGGCTCTATAAAATTTTAAATAAAATTTTAAACTATTGAGCTCTCATAGCAAATGTTATTATCACTTGATTTTAAGAAAGCATATAAATGAAATAAATACTTATAAATAAATTACTAAATAAAACCAAAGGAATATAAAATTACCAATAATCAAATTATAATTAGTGGGACTTATTAGAACAATTAACAAATGTGGACACATAGTTCACGAGAGTAAATAACCAAACGTTGCTTATTCCATGAAGACAAATGTGGACATACAATTCATGAGGGTAAGTAACCAAACGAGGTTATTCCATGAAGAAAAACATGAATACACAATTCACGAGAGTAATACTAACCAAACGCGTCTTAAAGCCATGAAATCAAACGCAGGTGTTAAACTCACGAATAACAAATATGAAAACAAAGCTCACAAATATCAAACTAGCTAGTCATTAACCATGGAGCGCCAAGGAATAACGGAGCTACCGCTCGCAACCAGTATTCTGTAATAAGTTCCTTTCAAATCCAATTTCAAATATGTAAGAAAATCATCAATAATGAATGAAATTTTTATTTTCAAAGTCGAACTCGCATGAATTATTTTCTGTATTAATCCAATATTTGACAGAATAAAAATCTCATAATCAAAGTCCAAACTTATTTTAATTGATCAAATAACGTTTCAAATCTAGTAAAGTTAATTTTTTAAAATAAAGTAATTTTAATCAATAGATATTTAATAGTCACATTATTGCTATTAAAATGATTTGTAGAAAAATGTGATATTTTAATAAAGAAAATATTGATTGAAAAAATTAATTAAAATGCTATCCACTTACCTATAGTGTGCCTAGGTACTTGAATTCATTTCTTAGGACTTCAATTAACTCTTCCTTACCATTTTAATTGAGATTTTCTTTCTTTAAATCCCCTATTCAATAATAATAATACAAATTTAGTGATCATTACCTAAGTTTACTAAACTCCCTTCCAATAATGACACCATAGATACTAAGTCCTAAATCAATCCAACTTATACTCTATATTAACCAATCCCTTCAATACTATTATGTATACATGTCACACATTACAACTCAAAATTTACAATCCAAATTAGTTCAAAGGGGTAGAATAGATAAATCTTAACACCAATATTTCTCAAACATTGCATCAAATGTCCAACTAGTTACACATCACCTCCATAATCATCCAATTTATTTGCAATACTCAAGTAAAACTCACAATAGTTTCATAATCAAAATTCTTCATCAAAACTTAAATTAAATCCATGAATAATTAACACCCAAATCAAGTATACCTTTATAAAAGTTAAGAGTTAACGAAATTTAAGAAAACTCATCATCAAACATCTAAAGATATTTCAAAAATGAATATAAATAACGATTTGATTTTTAAGTTACCAACTCAAGTATTTCTCCCAAAAGCTTCTAAATCCTACTTTAACTTTCATTATCAAAGACAATTGCCTTCCATGATTGTTTAATCATTGATGAGATAATTATCATGAATATTTTGCTACCTTGAATCCAAAATCTCCTCTCTTTTTTATAAACATTCTATTAAACATCTTCTATTTTGCATAAAACTTAGACCAAGCTTCTTCCTATCCCATCGCTATTTCCCAAAAATCCTTTAACACTAAACACACACACACACACTAATCCCATTCATTCAATAGACAATTAACTCTAATGTCTATATTTGAATAAGTCTAATTTACTAAATTTCATTTCTTTAACATAAAAATCAGCCTTAATTGATAGAAAATTCCAATTTATCTATCATTATACTGCTCTTAATACTAAATTTTTTAGCTAGAATCAATTTATTATCCCTATCTAAGACTCATAGCAGCAGAAAAAGAAAAAGAAGAATCATTACCTAACTCACAAAACACAGACACACATACCTCGAACCACAAATGGGAAGAAGCTTGAAGTTTCTATACCTCAAATCATCAACCAATCATAGAGAAGGGAAGGAGAGATTAAAGATCACACTGAACAGGGGAGAGGGAAGAAGAGTGACCTCCACAACAGCACAAGTTTTCAGCGAGCATAGAACAAAGGAGAAGACTTACTGTGACATTGTCGGAACTTCTTGCAGCGGTAGACGGATAAAGATGGAGGGAAAGGAAAAGAAGATTTGAACACCCACGACCGCATAGCCAGGAGAACCTAAAATTGGCACTAGTACTCTGCTTCGAAAAAGGAAGAAGGTTGAAGATAACACGTGAAGATGAGTCACAGCAACAATCCCAGCACCGGCAATGGCGACGAAGATGGAGGCTATGGTCCGAAGCTCTCTTTCTCTCTCTCACATGCTCTCCTTACTCTGGAACCTTCGAAGCTGAAGACGATTAGAGTAAAAGGAAAACAATCTAATGCGTGCCCCCTCATTCCTATTGTCTCTTTATTATTATGATTATATTTACTATTATTATTTTCAGGGCAAAAATGGCAATTTCTTTGATCAGACAACCAAAATAAAATATCTCTTTGGACATCACCGGGATTTGATCACCAAACCTCATAAGCAAGAACCAAGATGGGTTTCATTAAACTAGCAACACCTCTTATTATCTTTCTCCTAAGAATAAAAATGCAGTAAATTTATCTTATTTTTTATTCTAAAACTATAATTATAGCTTGGGTTATTACATGGTCTGTTCTGTTTTCTATGTTAGCGCCCTAGTCATGTGGTAGCTCAGTGTTACCACTACTTTGATAGGAATTTCTCTCTATCATTTGATCATGGATCTCCTCAAGCCTATTATGCCTTTCCTTATACCGTGAACAACTCAGCTTGGTACATGGATAATGGTGCTAACTACCATGTTAAACCATCTGCTAAACATTTGAACATGTCTCAATCTGTGGGTAAGACTCATTTCTTTACATGTACTGGTGAGAAAACTTCCATTCACGCCATTGGTTCATCTTCTCTTTCTTGTGCATCCACTAATCTTCATCTTACTAATGTTCTTTTTGTTCCCTCAGCCACTAAGAATTTGCTTAGTGTTCATAAACTGATAGAGGATAATAAGGTTGATGTTTTATTCATTAATTTTGGATGTCTTGTGAAGGACAAAATGATAGGCCAGGTGCTAATGCATTGGAGACCATGCCAAAGAATATACCCAATGCCTCACCTTCGACCTGAGATTTACTATGTTGTAGTATCTCAAGCAAATGCTAATTTTCTAGTTCTTGAAGCTAATGCTTGTTCGGCAGACTCTCATTTTCTTAGTTGGCATCAAAAATTAAGACATCCTTGTGATAGAGTTTTTAAACAAATTTCTACTAACTGTAATTTAAAAATTGCAATTAATGACAATAATGCTTGTTAAGCTTGTCAGATGGGCAAGTCCAAACATCTTCCATTTACACAATCTGCCTCTCATGCTTCATTTCCTCTTGAACTAATCTACACTGATTTATAGGGCCAGCTTCAATGTAATCCATTCATGAACACAGATTTTATATTCATTTTGTGGATGATTTTAGTAGATATACTTGGTCATATCCTCTCAAACATAAAGGGGAAGCTGTTAATGCATTCAACCATTTTAAAGCACTTGTTAAGAATCATTTTGGTTGTAAAATCAAGAACATTCAATGTGATATGGGAACAGAGTACAAACTATTTACTGCCATAGCTAATGAACATGGCATTAATATGAGATACACTTGTCCTTATACCTCTTAACAAAATGGCCGAACTGAAAGGAAACATCGTCACATTGTAGAAACAGGTCTCACATTATTAACTCAAGCTCATATGACTCTTACTTATTGGGTTGAGGCTTTTAAAACTGTTGTGTTTCTTATAAATTGAATGCCAACTCCTGTTTTGCACAACAAAATGCCCCTGTTTAAGCTTCATAAAACAGAGCCTGATTATAAATCTCTTTAGCCATTCAAATGTGCTTGTTACCCATGTTTAAAGCGTTATAATGGTCACAAATTTCAATTTCACAGTCAAAAGTGTATTTTCCTTGGCTACTCATCAATAAAAAGGCTTTAAATGCTTGAGCTCTTCAAGTCACATATATATCTCAAGGCACATTATATTTGATTCCTCTATTTTCCCATTTGCCACAGGTTTCTTAAATCATCATCATGATGAATCCTTGTACAAGTCTGGTGTTCCTATTATAATTTAGAACCATACTTTTCCTTTTTAATGGCCATCTAGAGGAACCATTATAGTCTGTAATGTCAGAGAATATGGAGGAACCACCTTTTACTGTACTTTTTGAGATTATGGTCCCATCGCCTTTAGGTGTCAATCTTCAACTTTTGTAGACCCAATAATTTTTTCTGATGCATCACCACATTCTTCCACATCCACAAGTCCTTCCCTAAAGTCCACTAATGTCCCTACGCGTGATGTTCCCAATACCTATCAGATGGTCACTCGGGCCAAACATGGAATATTCAAGCCCGAATATCCCTTTATTAGGCTTTTGACCTCAAACGATCCAACTTCTCTTGAAACAGTGGCAAAACCTAATTTAATACATGAAGCTTTAGCAATGGCGAGAGAGTTTGAGGAATTTACATGAAATCCAACCTGGCATTTAGTTCCTCCATCTGCCTTGCAAAAAATAATCGATTGCCGATAGGTCTTCAAAACCAAGTTCAAAGCTAACAACTCTCTTCTCAAGCACAAAGCAAGGTTAGTCGCAAAAGGCTTTCAACAAACTCCTGGGTTTGATTGTGAAGAAATTTTAGCCTTGTGGTGAGGACAACAACAGCACCCATTATTCTTGCAATTGATGTAACCTTTCAATGGGAAGTTCGTCAATTAGATGTAAATAATACGTTCTTGAATTGTTTTCTTAAGGAAGAAGTTTTCATGCGATAGGCTAATGGTTTTGTTAATTCAAGAAGATCGACTCATGTTTGCAAGCTCACCAAAGCCATTTATGGATTAAAACAAGCACGTCATACCTGGTATTAAAGATTATGATTAACCTTGTTAGAATGGGGTTTTCTTAATTCTGGCTGTTTATGCCAAGAACTAGAGATTTGATTGTGTTTATTTTAATATATGTTGATGATATACTAGTGACTAGCAATAATTCTGATTACTTGAAATCTTTTGTTCAGAAATTAAATAGTCTATTTTTTCACTTAAGGATATAGGTTCCATTCATTATTGTTTGGGAATAGAAGTAGTTTGAACTAATTCTAGAATTTATCTAAGCCAAGCCAAATATGTTCTTGATTTGTTAAGGCATTTTGGGATGCTTGACTTTGCACCAGTATCCACACCCATGGTTATTGGTAGACAATTTTCTATTTCTGATGGAAATCCTCTGAATGATGCCACTGTTTATCGTCAAGCTGTTGGTGCTTTATAATATCTTACAACCACCAAACTAGATTTTGCCTTTTTTATAAATAAGCTGAGTCAGTTTATGTCCCAACCCACTGATGTTCATTTTTAAGGTGTGAAATGGATTTTAAGATATCTTAAGGGTACTTATAGACTTGGTTTTCATGTTAAACCTTTTCACAATTGCAACTTAATGCCTTCATAGATGCTGATTAGGCTACAAATATAGATGATAGAAAATCAATGGCTAGTTTTGTATATATTTAGGTGACACTTTACTTACTTGGGCATCCAGAAAGCAACGTGTTGTGTCAAGGTCCAGCATTGAGTCAAAAAACAGGGCACTAACATATATCATAGCTAAAGTAAATTGGTTGTGTTCATTATTATATGAACTTGGTTATGCTCCCCAATATCCTCCTACAATCTAGTATCTAAGTACTAATGCATTGGCCGCTAATCCTGTTCAACATGCTCGAACAAAGCATATTGAAATAGATCTACATTTTGTTAGACATCAAGTCATTACAGGCACACTTGTTGTTAGATATATACCATCACGCAGTCAAGTAGCAGATTGTTCATTAAAGCTCTTTCATCTCCTCTATTCATTGTTTGCAAGAATAAACTTAGACTTCTTGTTACCCCCTCTTGTTTGAGGGAGAATGTGTCACGGCCCAAAAATAGGGGATGACCGGCACAAAATGTGAACAACATCACACATCCTGGAAGCCATAAATTTAAGTTTTATTTCATTTGACTAAAATGTACTCAGCTTTACACGGACCTTTTTAATACTATTTATAATAATCATTATAATAATTATTTTAACATTTTGTAAAAATTTTGGCAGAACCTCCTCTGTTAATAAGATCTCCTAAATTCTGTATCACAAAAATTTTTTCTTAAACATTATATCAATTAGGAGCTCAGCTCCTTCCAGTCAGCAGATAAAATGTATAATAAACTAAAGACTCTAATTTATAAATTATGTGGAGCATCTAATCATATATCTCATGACATAATACATAGATTTCATATTTACATCAATAAAACATATTTATAGAACCAACCTCCATTCTGTTCTGCAAACAACCATCATTGGCAAGATGTACAACGTTAGTTATGCTATCTGAGACCAAAATTTTTTTCAAATAATGTCCCAACAATAAATAATTTAATATGAATAAAAAAAAGTTTGAAATAATCATGTAAGTTAAACAGACAACAATTTTCATAAAATTTAATAAACTTTAAAATAAAATGACTCTATAAAATTTTTAAATAAAATCTTAAACCATCGAAATATCATAACAAATGTTTTTATCACTTGATTTTCAAAAAACACATAAATAAAATAAATAGTTGTAAATAATTTACTAGATAAAACTAATGAAATATAAAATCACCAAATAGTAAAATTCACAAATTTTTTAGGGACTTATTAAAACAATAAACAAACGTGAACACACAATTCACGAAGGTAAATAACCGAACGTGGCTTATGCCACGAATACAAATGTGGACACACAATCCATGAAGGTAAGTAACCAAACGCAGCTGAAGTCATGAAACAAACGTGGACACACAATCCATGAGAGTATCCCTAACCAAACGCGGCGTGAAGCCACAAAACAAATGTGAGTACTATGCTCACGAATAACCATCCCTCCGTTCCACGTGCATTAGCCATCGCACAGGGCTAGCACCTCCTATAAACACCTTGCAAGCTAGGTGTACCATAGCATACCAAGGGCTCACGGAATTGCCGTTAACAACCAGTGTTCTGTATAAAGTTCCTTTTTAAAACCATTTTCAAACATGCAAGAAAATCATCACTTTCAAGATACAGTTCTCATTCTCAAAATCAAAATCGCATGAATACTTTTAAGCATTAAAAATTGCCAGAATCAAATTTCATATCCGATGCTCATGCTTGCATTTATTGGATAAAGAAAATTTTCAACATCAAACTCGCATGAATCATTCTCTGTATCAATCTAATATTTAATAAAATAAAAATCTCATAATCAAAGTTCAAACTTAACTTAATTGATCAAATAAAATTTTAAATTTGGTAAAGCTAATTTCTCAAAATAAAATAATGTTAATCAACAAATATTCAATAATCACATTAATGCTATAAAAATAATTTCCAGAAAAATATAATATTTTATTAAATGAAATTTTAATTAAAACGCTATCCACTTACCTGTAGTGCTTTCAAAGTTCAAAACTCACTTCATACAACACCAATCGCTACCCTTCTCACAATCACCCTATAATAAATAATAAGATCTTAATGCACTTTACTTTTGACCCAACAAGTCTCTCTTTGTGAGAATTCACCCAACCAGAATTAATAATAAAACTTTAAGTTTTAGTAACAAAATTACACATAAAGGTTTCTTCTTAGGTTTTTTACTAAACATCTTATGTGCAACATTCCAACCCATTTGATAAAATGTGTAACTTTTAATTCTCTTGTCCCAACCATTTTCAAGCATCTAAGTATGCCTTTTTAAAGCGATAATATACTTTATAAAATTCTAATTTTATTACTCTCAATAATCCAGAGCTCAGATAGTATATCAATAACTTCCTACATAAACTTCTATGATAAAACACAATTAAATTTACAATTAACAATGTCAAAACATTATCATTCATGTCATTAATTTTCTCTGTAATACTTTAGCCATACCAAACTATTTATTTAAGATAAAAATTTTCTCTAAATCTTTGCATCAAACACTTTAGGTGTATTATTTCAACCATGCAATTAAAATTTTTTTTAATCTTCCAACCTTTATCTAACAATTTATCGATAATTATACTATCCCAGGAATTTAACTAGTTACATATGGATTCATAATCAATTTATACAATTCTAGTTTTCCCAAACACCATCATTTATATTGCAAAATTCCTCTAAATTACTTTAGCCATAGTAAAACATTTGACTGAGGTATGATCCTCTCTAAGACCTTTCAACAAACACCTATTGTGCATCAATTCCTAATTTACTCAATTGAGATTCCTAACCCTTGCCCAATAACTTTCGGTATCAACATTTAAATTTATCATAGTTTCTCATCAATAATTAATTTAAATTCATAAATTTCAAAAATCAAATTATGAAACAATACCATGGTTTATAAGTTATCAACCATACAACAACCAATTTACTCTTTAAATTTCTTTTTAGAAATAATTTCCTAAACATTTAATTAAATTTTCTATGCTTCCAAAGTTCATATCTTTATCCAAACTAAATTTAAATCCATAATATTAGTCCTTAGTTACTGGATATAGTTAATAACTCCACTCCAACTCTTCTATATATTTATCAAATGTCTAGAGTGCATTAAAAATTCAAAACATATCATCAAGCTTCCTATTCTAAAATTTCAAACCACTTACAGCTTCCAAACAACTTCATAAATTTAAATCCACTATGATCAATAACCAAATCCTTCATTCATCACAAGAGATCATGGTTGAGGAATCAAACATGCTACAAAACATAGCAGAAAGGGAAGATTTCTTAGAGCTTACCCCTCACGCAAACAGGAAAACGAAGGAAGAAGCAAAAACAGAGACAGCACAGAATAGCACGAACACAGAAAAACATGGAAGAATCCGGCAACCTCTGCTAGTAAAAGGTCTCCCACTTCACACACACAGACGACATACGGATGACGAACCCAGAATCCAGCAACACTGACACCCACAGCAAGACTGAACAAAAGAGGAATATTATTTTTTTTAACGTAAAACAGAGGGAGAAGAGGAATCTGGTGACCTCCAACGATGCTGGCCGAAAAATTGCTTACCCATTTGCTCTTGTCGGCGACGAAGGGGAGGAGAACAAAAAATGAATGGTCTGGATGATTAAAGCTCTCCTCTCTTCCTCTCAGTTGCCACTTGCACACACCACCGGCGTTGACGACGACGAAGGAGGAAGAAGACGGAGGCGGCGGAAGTGACCCCGATTCAGCTGCTCTCTAACTCTCTCTCCCTCTCTCTCTCTCTCTCTCTCTCTCAATGGTTCTTGAATCAGATCCCAAATGGAGGAAGAAACGTGTGCTCTGCTATATATCTCTTTCTCCCTTTATTTATTTAATTGAACATAAGGGCATTTTCGTAATTTTATCTTAAATTAAAGCTAAAAGATAAAATCCCACTCTTGGCCCGATGAAAATTCAAATTTATGACCCATCAATAATGTAATTTGCATACAGTTCACTATGCCTCAATTTCCCCTTGATATCTTTGCTCTAAAATAATAAAAATAAATTTTAAACAGATTTTAATAATTTAATTAATTAATTTTACTTTATTATTAGTTTTTTTTTCCGGTCATTACAGAATGTTAGAGAATGAAGTTATTTATTAATTATGTAATTAGTTACAATATGGATAAGATCGACTTAGCCCCTATACTATGCAGGTATGCCCTTGTATATTTTGTGTATATGTGTAATGCTTGTATTGGTCACCTTATATTATTTATATAAGCGAAAGGAGCCAGCTTATACTATCTTGTTTTGAGCATTTTATTTTCTTTGTCTGGTTTTTTATCTAATTAATCATATTTCAAAACAATAGGATCGCTGACAACAGCATCTTTGATACTGATGACCTCGTCCGACAAGTCACGTGAATGGATGACGTCTTCTTTCTTGTAGATGACGTACAGCGATCTGGCCATTTTCCATATCACATCCTTCACTTGGCTCGGTATTATGCTTCCTTCTTTCTGCAAAACCATTCTCAACAGCTCTTTCCTGCTCTCTTCAATCTCTTCCTTCACCTTCTTCACCACTTCTTCCTCACTTCCTGATCCCTCCCTCCCTCTCACTGCTATCGCGTTCAGTTTTCCTTGCTCCATTTCCCTCTGCATAACCACACACAAAACCCTAATTAATATCCTAAAGCAGGATATATAATTAATCAAGTCGAATTAGTAAGATATAACTGACCTTGTAGCCGTTGATGTCATTGAGCAATCGTCCATAGATGCTAACCACGTCAAACAGGCGATTGTATTCGTAACTTTCAATGCTTTCCTGTGGAAGCTCAGGTCCTACCAGATACAGACCTGGGAGGAGAATTGGTCCCAAGGCGAATGATATTAGTGCCACGGGCACATATTCCTCATAGCTTGGCACGTAATTGTTTCTCCTCCACTGAGCTTCCTGCAGGAAAGATTGCAGACAGTCCACCCACTGCAAATCAACTTAATTATCACTTGTTCTGACCACAACTTATTCACATTCTATGGATGGTATATATTTATACATGACTCACAAGCTGAATCAGGTGTTTCAGCACGCTTCGTCCTTGAATCTTAAGGGCTTGGTCTGCTATCTCACAAATTGTTCCTTTCAGTGCTAGGAATAATATTTTAACTGGCTCCGAACAATTTTCCTTCTCCATGTCTACGTCCCACCTGTGGTTCAATGTTGTTCACATACAGCATCAGTTTAATTTATAACGCTGGAGGGAACTTTAAATTCACAAGGGAAATTAAACTTGGGTTCATATATATATATATACACACATACTTCTCCATGAGTTCGACAAGCCTTATCTGCTCTTCTTCAGAACCCCAAACATCGTACATGTCATCAGAAACACATACGAGCAAGCCATTCTTTGCCCATGACATTCGTGCCTCACGGAGCTCTGGTTCCACATGTGTTCCTGCGGCTGTCAAGTACGAATATGCCACTTTTGGTCTGGGAAACTGGAGTTTGTCCATTCCACTCTCCATAAACCACCTGCTTGTGTGATGTAATAGTAGACCAAAAATGTGAGGGATTCATGGCGATTAATTGTATATGAATAACCACTCACAAAATAAAACACTCTATATATGTATGGGGTGTCAACTAAGATCAGCTTAGCCGTCTTGTAGTTTTGCATCCGTCCATTTGAGCTTTGTTTGAGTTATAGAAATAATTAACCTCAAGAGATATTAATTTCACAATCAGATCTTCGAATTAATAGAGTCACCTGTTATATTCTTCGAATTCTTCTCGAATTACTAGCTGGCAGCTGTTGAAGTCTTCCACTGCTAACTCAATAAATTCTCTGTTTGCGAGATTCACGGAACTGCAAGAAGAATATCCACAAAAATATGAGAAGGATGGATGATAAAGGGTAGGGTCTGTGCAAGAAGAAAAATAATAAGAAAAAGTATTGTACCTGTATGATGTTTTCAGAATTCTCTTTTGGTCAGCCTTATAATTCTCCATTATTTTTCGGTTAAACATACGATCCAAATAAGTGTGATGAGGAAATCGCAAAGCAAAACGAACCTGACATAATAAAACATCATTTAAATACGGAGATGTCAAGAACTAAACTGTCGTGAGATTGTAGCTAATGGTTAACTACGTACCTCATGGCAAATATTATGAAGAGGCTTGTGATCTTGTTCTGAGGAACAAGACAAATATTCCCTAAGGAAATCTCCTGTCCAGGAATTTAGTTCTTCCAAAACTGGATCATGTGAAAGTAGAGGTATTTGTGAAGCCTTGTGTAACTCCGTAACAGCATTAACATCCTTCAAATATCCCTCAAGGCTATTGCAGAATTTGTCTTTCGAAAATCGACTCAGTGCATCTGAAACGTATGGAAATATATAAATATCAAATTTAGTTGCTTCTTTGGTCTCTTTAATTTCCTCCCCACAGAAATCAATTAGTGCGCGACAAAACCTGAAGAAACATCATATTCATGTAACCGTAGTAAACGAAATGCAATGGCACATGTGGTTGGTTCCAAAAATATATCATCCTCATCCTGCCGCCACAATCTGCTTGCAACAATAAACAAAATAGAAACATAGATTACTATTGAGCTTTGGAATTTGTGTGTGTGTGTGTGTGTGTGTGTGTGGACTCTTGTCAATTACCTGTATGTTTGGTTTAACACACTATCGATTTCCTCTTTGAAAAAACGATCAATGCCCAATTTTTCAAGGCTGTCAACCATATAGATTCGAGCAAAGGCATCAAAAGGATGCCACGTTGGAACTGAAAATTTCAACATTTGTGTGTATATATACAATTGAATTAGTACACAGTTGAAATTAAGACGAGAAAAAACAAATCATAACAAGTTTGGAAAGCAACTAACCAGAATTTCCAAATTTATCTAACAACGAACGGAGATAATCAAAACACTGTGTATTGTTTAGCTGTGTGAAAGCACATGCAGTAGTGGCAGGTGAGTTAAATAAGGATCCATTCTTTCTTTGATATTTCATAGCCATTTCCCAATCTTGAGAATTTCCAAATCCTTCTGAAATAAATGCTAAATATGCTTTCCAGCCTTCTAAATTGCTTCCAGCCCAGCCTCTGTATATTGTTGAGAAGAAGCATGTTAATCAATAACTCTTGGTATATATTCAATGAAAGTTTCTTACTTCCTCCAAATTCTAAATGTAAGAGCTAATTAAAGAGTTTACTTTAGTCTTAAATGTAAGACTTCAATCTATTTCGTCTACCATATTTATGATTTTCCCTTAAACTAGCTACTTAAACTAATATTGGTTGCGCATGTGTAATCAACAAGGATAGTTTCCAATATAAATGATTGAAAGGGGAAATATTCTAAGGAAACCAATACATTTATTTTTACAAACAACAAACTTAAGTACTATTTTTTTAAAAAAATTTGTGTGATTTAATTATCTATCTCATATATTGAAAGGAGTATATATATACCTTTGGAGCTCCATTTCTCTCTTTTGGATGAGTGACTCCAGACTTTTCCCTCCAAGAGGAAGATTCAGATCCAACTTTTGGGCTTTCTCGAGTAAATGAGAGAAGACAATGTCGAATCCAATTGGAGAATGTTGCTTGTTATCAAAAGATGAAGCAATGTTTGACTCAATATATGCAAGTCCTTTAACAGCACAAGAGATGACATATATATCTCGTCATTTAACAACACATACATAATTAATGGATTTAAAGCTAAGACACTATAAGGAATGAATTAGACATAAAACAATCATTACTTTTTGTTAAATTTGATTGAATCATTACCTCTATGAGTTTGCTGTTCACCAACACCCCATTGCTTAAGAGCAAGCACACAAGTCAAGGTAGATAAAAGAGAATCTTTGGTCAACAACTCATCACGATTAGGAAGACCCCATGATCCATCTTTTTGTTGATTCTCTAATAACCAATTTAGAGTTTGAGGGAATAAAGGAGTTTGTGAAGAAGATAGTGATGGGATCATTGCCACCCAAGCTGTATCGTAACTTGATACAGACAGCTCAACTTTATTAAGTAGTTTTTTTATTCTCTCTTTATTCCCCTCAAACATCTGTATTTTGTAAAAGAAAAACAAAGAAATTAAGAAAATTGTCATTTCATTCTTAATTGCTCTTGTATAAACTTGAATTGATCTGAAAGAGAAGTTCACAGAAGATACTTACAATATTAGGTTTACTCATGTGAACTTTGTTCTCTACATTTGGCGTTCCAACCGAAGTTGCTGACCAAGAAATATATCAACATATACTGTCAGACTTTCTTAAACACATGAAGCATATGCATGCGATTAAAATTAACGTCAGTACGTTATGAAAAGTGGGAAAAAAGTATTTATATCCATAATATTATATATATATATATAAGATTTCCACACTATCTTTTTTTTTTGGTCAAAAGATTTCATAAGACTTTATTTGTCGTGCACGAGCTTCATCTAATTTGACCGACACTTCACACCTGCGTATATTTTTGCATGATTTTTTTTTAAAAAAAAATTGTCATTTCAAGTCGCATGAGGAGTCCGTTGAATTTGTCATACATGCAACCTAACTTCACCACAAAATTTATTTATTCAAATTCAAAATTGTAATGAGGATGTGAAATATAATTCATATATTTAATTAGATCGTTTATTTATGACTAATTAGGTAGCTTACATGGATGAAATATGCTACCATCAAGTACTACATTAAAATATATGCATACTAGGTGTATCATATCTTAGTGTAAACGAATTCATACTGTATGTGTATAATATGCAAATTAAATTTGAAATTGCAACCAAAAGCATATATACTCTAGTCAAAGATAAGGGCAAATTTGAAATAAGTGTACATTTTTGTGAGGAAATTAATTGTACGAGTAATTCTCTATTTTTTTTTAATGATCACAAAGATGTATATTTTGATGATGCATGTTAACATGAAAATTAAGGGCAAGACTTAGATGCTTAGTCTTATATAAACTTAATATACTTTTATCCATTCAAATCAAAACAAGTGGATCTTAATGTGTTGATAATATCAATAACAAAAATATAAACAATATATAAAAGATTTACATGTCTTGATTAATTTCAAAAAGGACCTTAATATATAAGGCTAAATATATAAGTTTTCTCATTAAAATTTTCACTAATTAGTTCAAATCAATTTGACAATAGTTACTATTGTCATACTCATTAATTACTGAAATAAAATTAAAATTTTAATTAATTGTCTGATAAAATAATATTATCTAAGTTTAATCAACAACATATTAACTAAATAAGATGGGTTACATAACAAATGCAAGGATGTTGAACTTCGCACGACTAATACTAGGGTGTGTTCGAGAAAGTTGTTTAAGATATGTCTGTATTGGATAGAGTATTATTGATGTGATGCTCTGGGTTTATGCAAGAATTTCTTCAGTCATTTAAGTATCATCGCTTATGCTACAAAACATATATAATCATGCATTTAAATCCTCTAAGTAGATCTTGGTTAATTTACATTAAGTTTTCTTTTCTTTATTATTTTCACTTGTTTATATAAATTCACAATTTCAATATCAGAAAATTTAAATCCTATAATCATTGGCTTTTATCTATGAAAGTTATTTACTGGAAAAGAATCGGATCTTCCTCTTGGTTAGCTCCGATAATTAAACAGATACCATATCCAACTCTCTGGAAAAGAAATACTGATCTGAATATTGCTACTTTATCTGAAAAATAACTTTCATCTACACAAACTGATCAGTAAGAATACTCGGTTTGATCGATGAAATAGATCGATTTTTCACATCAAGTACTAACATTCAGATCAGTATTTTTTTTCCCCTCAGAGTTTGTTAGAAATTAATACTAGATTTAAATATTATGTGATTTTTGAGGTTTGTGAGTTCATTTTAATTTGGTTTTGAAAGGAAAGAGGCAAAAAATAATAAATAGAGTACCAGACGAGTATACCAAAATCTAAGAGCCTATTTGATTTTTGTTTTCAAAACACTTTTTATTTAAAAAAAATTAAAAAACTTGTTTAGAAGAGTGTTTTTGAATCTAATTATTTTCAAAACTGTTCTCATTTTTTATTTAAAAAAACAGAAATATCTTAAGTTGTTTTCATTTTATTTTATTTTTTGTTATCAAAATACATTATATTTTATTATTAAAATATACAGTTACTTTAACCAATCATTATCATAAGTCGTCACTATTAATTGTTGGTGACCATCACTATCGATCAATTTTTTAATTCTAAAATTATTTTTAAATTAACACAATTGAACAGATTTTTCTCTTGTTTTGTTTTAAAAAATAGTTTTAAAAACAAAAAATAAGAATAGAAACTAAATAGGTTCTAAATCTCCCTTTTAGAAGGGGGAAGTGGAGATGAGGGTGAGGTAGTAGTGACTAGCCCATTATGATTAAAATAATATATATAAAGTAAGAAATACAAAAATATTCATACACAATCTTGAAAAGATTAATATTTAAATAAAAATTTATTAATCACAATTAAATGGAACATTCATGTATATACCACACATAATTTAACAAAACAGAATTACTAAAGCACATAAATCTGACATATCTCAAAATAATAGGGAAAAAATAAAATCCAACCTGATCGACATGTAAAAAACATATTTTGAATGAACCAGTCAGAACTAGTTTACTGGTTCACTTGTCTTATTAACCAACTCACAAGTTGAGTTTTAATTCATATAGTGGTAAGAGAAGAAAAGCGAATTTGTAAAACAAGATGATAATACTCAATCATAGATGGTTTGGAAGGAAAGAGGCAAAAAATAATGAATAGAATAACAGGCAACTATGGTAAAATCTAAGAGCCTATTTGATTTTTTGTTTTCAAAAGCACGTTTTTGTTTTAAAAAAATTAAAATAGAAACTAAATAGGCCCTAAATCTCACTTTAAAAAGGGGGAAGTGGAGAAGAGGGTGAGGTAATGTTGAGCAGTCCTTTATGATTAAAATAATATATATAAAGTAAAATATACAAAAATATTCATGCACAATCTTGAAAAGAATAATATTTAAATAAAAATGTATTAATCACTATTAAATGGAACATTCATGACACATCATTTAACAAAACAGAACTACTAAAGCGCATATATTTGACATATCTAAAAATGATGTTTCAAGCTCAATTATAGGGGAAAAAAATAAAACCTAACCTGATTGACATGTAAAAAACTTATCTTGAATGAACCAATCAAAGAATTAGTTCACTAGTCTTGTTAGCCAACTCAATCGCGAGTTGAGTTTTAATTCATACAGTGGTAAGAGAAGAAAAGTGAATTTGTAAAACAAGATGATAATACTCAATCATAGATGTGTTTGCAGAGAGAGAGAGGGAGAACCTGGAGTGAGAGAAGCATGGAAGGAGGGGCGTGAAAGAGTCATGGAGGAAAATAGAAGCATTAGCGAGAAGCTCTTCTCTCAAGCCCCAAGCTTGTTGATGCTTTCTTCTCCTTTTACTATCTAATATATATAAAGCCAAGGCGCGCCAATAACTAGATCTGTTCAAACGAAATAATTGATTATTTTTTTTAAAAATCTATTCTCACATACATTGACAAAATGAATATATATATATATATATATCTAATTAATTATTCCTATATTCTACGTTCAACTCTGTTAAAAGAGAAACAAGCAAGCTAGCATTTTCAATTATCAAGACATCAAGCCAATGATAGTGCTTATTACTTCCTCAGTTTAAAAATATAAAGTATTTTTTAAAAAATTAAATGCTTAAAAATGTAAAACATTTTAAATATTTCGAGGTGTAATTAACTTTTTTTTCTAAAAGAACCTATAATAAGTAAATTATTTTATATTTACTTGAACATAAAATATCTTATTAAATAAGAGTAAATATAAAAAAATGATATTAGTTTGAGAATAATTAATTATTTTGTTGAAGAGTGAGATTCAATTAAAAATATTTTATATTTTTTAATGAATGAAATAAATTAATATTATGAACCGTTACATGTTGATCGTATACATTAATCCTAGATTCCCGGGTCAGATTAATATGAAAATGACAGCAGACCCTTCTGCATCATTGAAGATTTTCGTTGGTGCGTAAGTAAGAAGTCACAAATAACTGACCAAAAACATTTGTTTTTTAATCCATTAACTCCATATTGATTCATTCATCCTGAGTCTAAATGCTATATAAATATATGTAGTAAAAGAAAAACCCAAATAAGTCAAACTAACCCAATTTAATTCTATCAATAATGTTTGTGCACTTTATTATTAAATTCATAGTTAATTCCATGAACGAAATGTACTACTAGTTTTATTAAATTTGATCTTATATTTGACCAGAGTGTATATTATACAACAAATTACAAAGTCCATCTAATATGACTAAATAATGCAATTTAGTCATGAAAGCCTCTAGTTTGACCAAATAAAAAAAATATCACACTGGTCATCAATATGACTAAACAATTTAGTCATGCTTGAGCCATCTAGATCTAGATTTAATATGTGTTCAAAATACTTTTGGTATTATAAATAAAAACAACTTGACTAATAAGAAAACAAGCTAAGACATCATGTAATAGAAAAATAAGTAAGCTAATTGAATAGATCATATATGCTCAACGCCTGAAATTAAAGTTGCAACGTAACCATAAAAAAATATCCGTTGGACATTGAATTAAAATTTAAAACATTATTTTAAAAACAGGTATTATATGAATCTTTTGACTAAATCTTAAAATTATTCATATAGCTGCTAAGCATTAAAAAAAATATTCATGTTAGCTAACTGGATCAAAATATACTTAATATGGGGATCTTTTGACTAGACCATAAAATTATGCATATGGTACTTAAGCATTAAAAACATCATGCATTACTGGGTCAAAATTTACTTAATGTGCTAAATATTACTAAATCAAGAAATTAAGAAAACAACCAATGCATTCTCCCCAAATGCTCCCTGCCCGTATCCCATGATTATACATACATGCATACATATAGAAGTGATGACATTCTTGTAAGAAAAATCAAAAATTGGTCAAAACAGGCAGGCTATGCGAATTAAATTTGACTATGTTGTAAAAAAACTGCTATTAATATTGGAAAAATCAGCGTGGCAGGCCACGTAAAGGTATTCCCACAAACATTTAACATAACTATATTTTGATGACTTGAACTCAAAATCTTCAATTAAATTAGTAAAACCTTCTACGAGTTGAATAAATTGTTTCATGGTTAAGAGGAAGCAACATTGAGTCAACAACTCAAAGGTTTCAACAAAAACTATTAAAGGAGATCAGAATACAGAGCTTAGTTGAACATTTAAGAATTCTAAAAATTTAAATCAAAGTTATGCACAAGGCTAGTGAGAGTTGTTCATTGCCTTGGATTATATGTGCACAAGTAAGCTAAGTGCCTCCCAGTAATGAATTTGGTAGCTCTGGAAATACAAGTTGGACCACCCGCTTAAGCATATTTTTTGGACTCATATTTGGAAAATTGGAATTTTAGTAAAAAGGAGCTTTTGGTCTTGGCGTGTATGAGTTTCAAAAAATCATGCTTGAGTTCGGCTTATCCATTTAAGCATGTATTTGTTATTTTAATCAAATTGTGAAATGCAAAACATAGCAGAGTCCCTCTGTTTCTAACTTCAAACATGTATTCCGGGAAAATATAAAAAATTGAGGAGTTGTTGCAAGAAAATATTTGCAACCTTGATTATGTGATTTCTAATACAACAACAACAACAAGCCTTTATCCCACTAGGTGGGGTCGGCTACATGGATTGCAAGACGCTATTGTGCTCTATCATTTATCAAGCTTTTAAGAATATTATTAATTAAGAGATCGCGTTCAATAATTTTCAAGAGTGTTCTCTTAGGCCTTCCTCTACCCCTCTTAATCAGACTCAAAGTTATATGTTCCACTCTTCTCACTGGTGCCTCCCTTGGTCTTCTTTATACACGCCCAAACCATCTCAACCAATTTTCTATCATTTTTCCTCAATAGGTGCTACCTCACTTTTTCGCGTACGTGCTCATTTCGAATTTTATCTTTGCGTGTATGTCCGCACATCCATCGTAACATTCTCATCTCTGCTACTCTAACTTTATGCTCTTGTTGTCCTATTAGAGCCCAACATTCACTACTATATAATATTGCCGGTCTAATAACGTGCGATAAAACTTTCCTTTAAGTTTATTAGGCACCTTACGGTCGCAAATAACTCCTTTAGCTTTTCTCTAATTAAACCACCCAGCTTGAATCCTATGTGAAATATCTCCACTGATTTTGTCATCATTTTGAATAATGGCTCCTAAATATCTAAACTTTTTCACTTGAGGTATAATTTGATCTTCTAATTTTATTTTCAAATTAGTGTCGAATAGTCTCTTACCAAATTTAGAATATAAATATTCCCTCTTACTCCTACTCAGATGGAAACCTTTCGACTCTAATGTCCTCCTCCATAACTCAAGTTTGCAATTAACCTCTTCTCTTGTCTCTACTATAAGAACTATATCATCTGCGAAGAGTATACATTTGGGAATTTCCCCTTGAATATGTTCTGTCAAAACATTTAAGATCAAGTTGAACAGATAAGGACTCAAAGATGATCCCTGATGTAGTCCAATCTTTATAGAAAAATTCTTTGTTTGACCACTAGGCGTTCTTATACTAGTTTTTACCCCCTTAATTATGTGATTTCTAATATGGCTAACAAATTGAGGTGTTGTTTGAAGAAAATATTTACAACCTTGATCATGTGAGGCCGTCGTTATTGGTAATAATGATCTCATATAATGGAAGTTCGGATTAGTTTAGATAAAAGAAGGTAATACTCTCAAGTTTTCCCAAACGATGGAATCAAAATTGAAGGAAAATTTTGGCAAGTATTGAGCCAACTAAATGTGATCATTAGATACTTGAGAGAATTAAAGAATATTTAATTTTGTTTGCAGTTTGAACTTAAAATAAGGGCCAGGTCCAATCATTTCCAAGCTTAGGTCAAATGCCCGTATGATATCTTTTTGAGTGGGTTTGTAAAAGCCTGTACCTTAGGAAACAAGACTTTAATGCCGATTAAAAGAAGAGATGGTACTTTTAATTTGTCCTTTTAAGTACATTTCACTTGCAGGAAAGCCTTGTCTCTTCAAAATCCATCTTTAGAGTGAATCTCTATTATGACATTGAAAATGATTCACACCTGTCTTAACTACATTTAAGTACTTTGGGAACTTCAACTATGGATTAAGAGTGTTTTTAGATTTAGTGGACATAATTTGGGCTAAACCTAACAGGCCAACCCAAGTAAACTCAAAAAATTTTAGAGTCAAACTTGGTATTTTAAAAAAAAGAAGAATTACTTTGAAGTCCTACACAATACAATTAAATACTATAAGGTCTTTTGACAACTAAACAAAGAAAAATGACAAATGGTCATTGGTCATTTTTCTTTGCTTAATTGCCAATGGATCTTGTGGTATTTAAATATGTTGTGTGGGACTTGTATGTAATTCTCCTAAAGAAACCCTACTTTGGGCTTATACAGGATATAGTCCCAATAAGCGAGCTTTGTCCAAATACTTGCACTAATTATATTTTTTAATAAAAGATTGAATTAAGTAAATTGACTTGCTTGCTTTTGCTCTCGCACCTGCATAACTCTAGACCAAACCCTTCTCTTGATTCCATACAATTACACCTCTACCTCTCACCTTCTCATCCATGACCATCTTCTCCTCCTCCCTTCTTTAGCAACAACAATGATGACTATCTTCTCTCTGGTCGAAAAATGGCAACACTCAACACTCATAACCTCATGCTCAGTCTTCTTCCATCTTCATCTTCTTCATTGAATCTTTGATCTTCCATCTTCGTCCTCCTTTCTTTAATCATTGAAAGCTGGCAACTAGAAAACTTTAGATAATCATATCTGAATAAGGAGAAAAACCCAAGAGCTCAAGTATGTAACATCCCCAAATTTTCAATTTTGAATTTTAGAACTTAAAAGGGTAAATTAGTAGAATAACTATAAATTGTGTTTATTGATTTTTTATATCAGTAATGAACTTGCCAAAACCTAGGATGAGTTATGAGCCAACCAAGCTTTAGAATGAGGCCTAAATTTTCATTTACTCCTATTATGCCATCAACCACAGTGAAGGCACTTTGCATTACGATGGTTGTGCAAAATTCTAGTTAAATCAAAAGCTTGCATGCGTCTGAAATAGAGGGGGAAAACAATAGGGAGAAGTGCTGAAGAGGAAGATTTTGGCTACTAGGACTTGGTCATTTGGCCATGTTGGAGGTACTTTAAGCTTGAAAAACGTTCAAGCAAGCTTCCTAACTCTTCCTCCTCCTCCCTACTCGAATTTTCAAAGGTTTTAGGTATGGTTGGATGATGATCTCATCTTTCCTTAGGTTTAAACTAAATACATTGAGTTTATTGGGATTATTAGGAGTTAA